AAAAAAAAAGTATTACTATACATTAATGACTTATAAGCTTTCATCTGAAGTTCAGTTAAATGTTGAAAGAAAGTAACGTGAGGATTGTGAAAATGTATAATTATGGTAATTTAATTTATATTTTAAAATGAATCGTAATTGTTATAAAAAAATTAATTATATTTTAAATTAAACTAATTTTAATTTAATTAAAATTTTTAAAAGTAAATTATAATATATATATATATATATATATATATATAATTTTAAATAAGATATACAAATATATTTTTAAATTTAAATAAAATTAATTTGTATTTTAAATATAATAATTTAATACATAAATTATAAAAGAGAAAATTAATTTTTTCAAAAAAAAATGTTAAATATTTACTCTTTATATTTTTTATTATTATTTATTAATCTAAAAATATAATATTATAATTACTCTTATTTTTAATACAAAAATAATATAAATAGTTTATATTTATCTAATAAAATATAATATAAAAATTAATTATTTTTTATAAATAATACAATTAAATAATTAAAGTATGTTTTATTCAAAATTTATATTTTTAATTTTAAAATTCAATATATATAGTTGTTATCATTTATCTGTAATTTTAAGAGAAAAACAATTGTTACCGAAACTAATACATATATAATTAGTTAATCTATTAATATTTTTAAATTAATTAATTCATTTCTTTTGATAATATGTTAAATTTTTATAATATTACAAGTACTAATAAATAAATAAATTTTAGTTATAATAAGTAAATTTTTCTATTATGTAAAATATTTGATATTTTTTAATTAGATGAATAATTGTTTATTATGATAAAATAATTTAAAATTAATTATATTATCATTATAATTTTAAATAATTAATTAATATTTTTTATTTACTAAATTTGAATATGGTATTTGTGAAAACAATGAAGGGAAAATTGATGACAATGTGAAATATGTCTCTACATTTTTAAGAGATGATTCAAGTTAACAACATTCAAGACTCAAGCAAGCCCAAGATATGATTTGATAAAGATTCAATTCAAGATTCAAACAAACCCAAGATAATTCCTGAAGACCAGATAGAGTCTTAGGGTACAAGTTGATGAATTAATATTATGCATAAGCCTCCAAATGACAAGTGTGCTAAATTTCGTAACATGACATTTTTCAATGTCATAATCAATTATGATGCATCAGAATTGAGAAATTGATTTTTACCCCAACGTAATAGATTATGTTGAGGAGATAATCGATTATGGCAGTTCGAAATTCAAAAATATATTTGTTTTGAAGAATAAATGTTTTTTAATATATCCTGATTTTTATCCACGAAAATATTAATGTTCAACGACAATTTTCTAATGTTATTTTTCTATTTAATTAAGTTTTGATGGAAGATAAAAAATACACAATTATAGAATTTGAAAATACAATTTTCATTCAATCAGTTTTGATAAAAGAATTCTGAGCATTGCAACAAATATTTTTTACATGTTTTGAGAAAACTCTCTTCTGCATTGCCACAGAGATATTTTACCAAAACCCTCTTCTCTGTTGCCTACTGTGTTTTCATTGTTAATCACATTTGTTTTTTGGAGGTTGACATTCTACAGGCTTCTACAATTTGTTGTCTTCATTACTCAGGTGTGACTATTCTTATTTTATTACCTTCATCCTTTGTGGGCTTAAGTGGTTAATTGTTAAATTCCCTGTTTAGGGTTTAAGTAGTCACTATCATTCTATTTTTTTTTTCCTGTGTGGAAATTGTTCATCCCTTTGATTTGTTTAGGGAGGTGTTTTCATCCTTTGATTTGTTTAAAGGAGGTGTTCATCCCTAGTGAGATTCTAGGGAGGTGTTCATCCTTAGTAGGATTCTAAGGAGGGTGTTCATTCTTTGATTTATTCAGAGGAGGTGCTCATCCCTAGTGGAATTCTAGGGAGGTGTTCATCCTTAGTGAGTTTCTAAGGAGGTGATTGTCTTTTGAATTAGTTTGTTTTTTGCTGAGTTGATTGTAATTTGTGAACTGAATTTAAAAGATAGTAAATTGGGGTCACTCTTGTGGTAAGAGTTGACTGGAACTAGATGTAGAGTTGACTATACCCGAACCAAGTATAAACCATTGTGTGTTCTTCTCTTTCCCTTATCTCTTTTTCACTGCATTACTCTCCTTATGCTCCTTATTTTTTTATCTCTATTTTTCTCTATCTTGTTGATATTTTATCTCTCCGATTATATTGTTTTTGTTTTATCTTTGTTCAATTTGATAATTAAAATTGAATTAATAAATATTAGACATCTTAAAATAAATTTTTAATTTGACATCTATTTTAATTTGTGCATCTATTCACCCCTCTCTAGATGTCATTTGTCTAAAAATTTGTAATTAGAAGAGAAAAAGAAGAAGAAAAAATTAATAAGTAAAAGAGGAAAAACATAGGAGAAAAATAAAAGATGAACGAGGATAGAAAAAAAAAACAAATAAAAAAGAATGATTGAAGATATAAAATATAATTTTTATATCAGAAAATATAACTTCTTGTAATATGTGAATAAATAGTAAAAATATATAATTGCTAAATAAATTGGAATATATTTTATTTGAATAGTTTTTTAAATATATTATTTATTAAATTAAAAAAATATTTTAATTTTTGAAATAAATAAATCTTTTTAAATTAAATTCTAATATATATATATATATATATATATATATACATATATGTTTTAATAAATAATATTATTTTTATTTAAAAATATTTATTATTTTTATTGACTAATATACATTTTAATAAATAATATTATTTTCATTTAAGTGAGAGATTAAATAAACCAAGACTATGATTTCATTCACAATTCTTTTCTTTCTTTAATGTTGGGTTTGTTTCCATTGAAGTATTTTAGTCAAAGAATTGAGGAATGGGTTTGAGGGTATGAATTGTGTTTGTACATGCTCATTTGAGTAAATTTAAGAGGAATGGAGAGGGGCAGAGTTGAATGATATCAAATGACCTATATGTCCCCATTTTGTCTCATGGTGGTGCTGGTGCACAGCAGCACATGCATATATTTCATCTCAACACAATGCATATTGCTGGTGAACTCAGCCCGAGACATAGTTAGGATACAACTGCAACAAACACTATGTATGATCATGTGTTGAACAAACGTTAGTCTGCACTGTATCTCGTGAATTATTGTAATTTCGTGTATAAATAAATACACTCATTGTCACAATAAAGATTATACTTTTACCTTTCTCTATTCCCATCAACGATTTCTCCATAGAAGTTACTTTTATTTAAGTTTCACTTGGATGACTTTAATTTTTTTTCAACGTTGTACTTTATTTTTTAATATTTAAACAGTATATTTTATGTGAAATAATTTTTTTACAAATTTAATTAAATTTATAAATTATTATTAAGGTAATAAATAAATAAAATTTAAATATTCTTACAAAATATCATTCATATATATAAAATAATTTTAATATATCTCATAATTGTATGTATAATATAAATTAATTACTCTAAATTAAATTATACTACAGTTCTAATTTATATATTTTTTATTATTATTACATATTTTATATTTTAATTTTAATTTTTTTATTCAATTATATTAATCTCATCTTCTATAATTTTTTCACTCATTTTTCTTCACTTTCTTCCCTCAATCTAAATAATTTCACTTTCCATTTACTTTCTTTTATTTCCCACCCCTTCTATCCACTCCCCAATCAAAACTAGGCATAAGTTACACCTATTTTAATATCTCATTATATATATCTTACTTTTTAGATAATAAAAAAAATTTTTAATATGTTGCAAAATATTAAATAGGTACAAATTTATATTACAATTTTAAGAAAATATGTTTATAATATATTGAATGAAAGGTATTGTTAATTTACATTACCGCTTTGGGTTTTTTTATAATTGTTACAAATATTAAAATGATAAAAATATTTTATTAATAATAAAACAAAAAATTAACTTAAAAAGATAAACCAAATCAATATTAATTAAGAAAGCATGACGTGATAGTATAATAAAAATGTTTTTTTTTTAAGTATTATTCTCAATAATCATAATCAATTAAGTAATAGTAACTATTTAATGTATTAACACGGTAAAAGAATCTGATGTTATATTATGATTATATGTTTAATTAAAATATACTGTAAAACATTAAAAATGAAAAATAATAAATAAATGCTTAAAATACTTAAAATTAATTTATAAAAAAAAGTTATTTATATATCTGATTTGTTTGAAGGGAGAAAGGAAATAAAAAGAAAAATAGACAGATGAGAAAAAAATAAATGTTAAAAGAAATTAAGTGAAAACAAATCAGTAAGAGAAAAATTAATAATAATAATTTGTTTTGATAATATATATATATATATATATATATATATATATATATTATACATAAATAATTTATATTTTTTCACCCAAACCACAGTTAAAAAAAATATTAAAGAACATTCAAAAAGATTTATCAAATGATACGTATTAATTTCCTTTGATGAAAATGCAGAAATATTATAATAGATTAAGTTCTTTAAAGTACTTTCATCTAATAAAATTATATAAACAAGTATTTACAATATCGAAATATAGATTCAATTCAATTTTAAAATTTAAATAAATTAAAACCGGGTATTATTTTCATACCTCATATTTTATTTAAAATATATCACTATATATTATTAATTATCAATTAAAATACAAAAACAACCAAAAGTGAACACCGCAATATCCGGAAAATCCTGCGGCGCCATCGTGCTGTTACTGTATCATTGCATAATATATATATATATATATATATATATATATATATATATATATATATATATATATATATATATATATATTATAATTATTATTATTATTATTTATATATGTGTAAGTGAGAATCCAGAAAAACAAAGAAAGAATCACACTTGAGACTATCAGAGGGAAGAAAAAGAAAGTGTGTGAGAGTGAGAAGCAGAAAAATGGGAGCAGAAGCATTGTCCAAGAACGAGGTTGCACCTGCAGAGGCACCCCTTGTTCTGGGACTCCAACCCTCAGCCCTCGTTGACCACGTGGCACCTGTGGATTGGTCCTTGCTTCATCAAATTCCCGGTGAACATGGTGGCTCCATACCTGTACTACACACTCACCCCTCATCTTCTCGCTCTTACTTTTTATTATTTTTGGTATCATTTTCAGTAGTTGGGTTCCTACAAACTTGTCTTTTTAATTTTTCTTTCTTATGAGAATCGCTTGCAAGCTAAATTATTTTGTATAAGGAAGCAATGTTATAATATTACATGGCATGACATGGGGTGTTGAATTATTTGGTAAAATGTGTTTCATGATGATAGATTGAGCTTGGAGAACTTGAAAATCTACTGAGGGAGGTGAAAATCCATGTCCTCTCATGCCATGATGATGATGATGGTTGTAATCCTTCTTCAGACTTTAAGACCTTGGCTGGAGGCAGTGTTGCAAACACGATTCGAGGACTGAGTAATGGGTTTGGGATTTCTAGTGGAATTATTGGGGCTTGTGGGGATGATGACCAGGGAGAGTTGTTTGTCAATAACATGAATTTCAATGGAGTTGACCTCTCTAGACTCAGGAAGAAGAAAGGACATACAGCACAGGTTTGTTCAACATCACAAAATATAGTATAAAACTAAGTACAATCTCTTAAATGTTTTGGTGTTGTTAAATTGTTTTTCAATCAGAATTAGAGTTTAACCTCGTGATCAGTTACAGAACTATTGCTTACAAGTTAGTTACGATATCTAAGTTTTGTAACACAAAAAATTCTGTTAGTAAATGTTTTGTACAAAGGTGGAAATGTAATAATAGTTCAGCTATCTGTAACAGTGTGTTTGTTTGGTTGATGACTTGGGAAACCGTACCATGCGACCCTGTCTCTCTAATGCTGTGAAAGTTCAGGTACATGACTCCATTGTGTCTGTCTCAAAAGTATATGCATTTAGTTTGGTGTGAAAGGAATCAACTAAATTTTGTTAAGTTTGACAATTACTTTTTGTTTTGCAGCCGGAAGAGTTGACCAAAGAGGATTTTCAGGGCTCCAAGGTTGTTGCCTTTATCAATGGATCGAAATATTATAGATATTTGAAATTTTGGGGCTTATTATATTGTCCTATATATTTCATTTGTCCTTGCAATGTTCATCTGATTCTTTCTGTCATGAGAGGGATTACATTCATCAGTTTCTTCTAGGACTGAATTAATTGCTCATGCAATGTAAATGTCACCAAAATGGGTCATAGGATGAGAGTGAATTTGCCATATATTGACACTCCATGTATTAACATTTCAGTGGTTGGTGTTAAGATATGCTATACTTAATTTGGAAGTTATTCAAGCAGCTATTCTTTTAGCAAAGCAGGAAGGTCTTCTTGTTTCCTTGGATATGGCCAGTTTTGAGGTATACTACACTATGATATCACGTTTCATGTTTGTGTGGGCAAGTTATTAGGTAGCAAATACCCCCAAATTGATGCAAATATGGAAACTTGTTCTAGGCATCAGCTATGTAAATTTAATCACAAGTCTTATATGTTCTCTTTATTTTGGCAAGATGGTTAGAAATTTTAAACAACCACTTGTGAAGCTATTGGAGTCTGGGAACATTGACCTGTGTTTTGCCAATGAAGATGAGGCAACAGAGCTTCTAAGGTAACTGTCAATTTTACTTAAACCTGCTCTGTGGCAAGATATGCATTTTCCCAGTTATTCATTGTCTTAGTTCCACTTATTAATAAATCTGCTGGTTTTTTTATACATGATGGATTCAGGGGTGAACAAGATGCTGATCCATTAAATGCTGTAGAATTTCTTGCCAAGTACTGCCAATGGGCAGTAGTAACACTGGGTTCTAATGGATGCATTGCTAAACATGGAAACGAGGTGTGTAACATTTCTCACTATCTATCAAATTATCAAGTTGATAAAATTAGTGTGATAGTGTATCAGAAAGACTAAAAAGGTCAAATTAAAACAAAAAAATTTATTGAACAAGTATGGTGAAGGACATTAGCTGTTGAAGTGATGGTTGTGATTCAAAACTTAACAAGCAAGAAAGCATATGACTGGTATTGTAGGATAAGTGGTGGAATGAAAACCTTTAATGTGTTTGAATGTGTCAGATTGCACGTGTCCCAGCCAGAGGAGAGGCAAAGGCAAAAGATGCAACAGGGGCAGGGGATCTATTTGCAAGTGGGTTTTTGTATGGAGTGATAAAAGGATTGTCACTTGAAGAGTGCTGCCAAGTGGGGGCATGCAGTGGTGGGTCAGTTGTACGCTCTCTTGGGGGTGAAGTCACGTTGGAGAATCGCCACTGGATGTACAAACAAATGCAAATCATGAACCTTCCCACGCCTCATACTGACAAATGAACACAAACTACTTTTTTTATTTTTTCACATTTCATCTCTTGTCAGTGAATGGCAGCTATTGTATGGTTCCAATTGTGAACTGGTTTCATTAATGTATGCAAGCAGGGGTTTTTTTTCATATTTGGTGTAATTTTACCTTAAATTTATTAAAATGGGTAAATTTTGAAATTTTTATAGATATGGATGAGTCATGCTGAGACGAGTTCCTAGTAAAAAAATTGTGTTTCTTAGCTGGTTTTTAATATTTTTTTTTAAAGCAAGTCATGCTAAATTGACTTTTGTATTTTTAATTTTTTTTATCAAAATTGTGTTTGATGGCACGTTTTTTTATTTATTTAAGTCGTGATTACTTTTGCTTTTTACCCTTTTATATGTTTATTTCAATTATAAAATAATATTATTCATTTTTAACTTTGTAATATTATATATTTTAATAATAATATTATATAATATTTTTCTATTTACTATTTTTTAAGATTATAAATTCATATTTAAAAAAAATAAATTATAACAATAGTTAAAAGAAATAAAATATATTATTATTAAAAGTGATATATTATTATTCTCCTTGTGACAAATATTATCATTATGATCTTCAATACGATAAAATAAGTATTTTTTGTTCTATTTATTTCAATACAAGAAGATCAATGATGTTCATAAGTTTTGAAAATGTGATCTAACCTATATACTAGACCAATATATATATCAATCAATTTGTAAATGGTATGAGGAACACAGTTATAACTTGTGAGAAAGGTAATTGAAGAACTTGAAACTCTCCACAATCACATCACCAATCATGCAATCAAACTCACCATTTTCCCTACTATATCTTTTCACATGGCACATGTCAGTCTTAGACATGACAACAGAGTGGGGGCGGGTTTTGTCTCCTCCATCCCCGCTCCCGACTCTTTTAACCATCCTTGTTCACGTCCCATCTCCGCAGTAGTTAGAAATTAAGTCTCCGTCCCCGCTAAATTTTTGGGTTTCCCGCCCGTCCCCAATCTATATTATATTTTTAAAATTTAATTATATTTATAATAAATTAATTTTACTATGTATTTTTTATATATAAATATTTATAATTTTACAAATTATAATTATTATTATTTAAATATATATTTTAATTTATTATATTTATATTAAAATATGTATGTAAAAGAAATATTTAATCACTATTTATTTATTTATATATATATATATAGAATATTTATAACATTATTATTATTATAATATTGTATTCAAATATTTGAATACTTATAGCATTATTATTATTATTATTATTATTATTATTATTATTATTATTATTATTATTATCTATTATTATACTGTATTCAAACATTTGATTGCATATATGAGTTAATTCATTTTTAAGTTGTCATTTAAAAATATAAAATATATAATTTATAAAGAAATATTTAATAAATTAATTCTTATTTAATTAGTTCGAAGTAATAAAAATTTAAATTATTAATTATTTTTAATCCTTTAAAATAAAATTATTTTATTAAGATAAAATTTGATATATGACAAATAAGAATAATAAGATAAAAAAATATGACATAATAAAATCTAATAAATATAAATTATAAATAAAATAATATTAGTTACTACTAAGATTTTTGTAAAATATTTAGAAAAAGATAAAGAGAAAAAATAACTTTGTGTTCATCAAATTGATTGAAAAAATTGAAAAAGAAATTGATTGGAGAGATTAAGAAAATGTGAAAAATGGAAAGGTAAGGGGGAAAACATAATGTAATAAACTAATTGATATAAAAGATTAAAAAAGACAAAAAAATAAAAAAGTGGGTTGAAAAAAAGTAAAATTGGTGAAATATAAAAAAATGATCTTATATGTAATAAAAAAGAAAAAGAAATATTTTTAAAATATTAATATTTTAAATTTTAAATTTAAATATAAAGTCGGGAAGAGGACGGGTCAGGGTAAGGATTGCATTACTCATCCCCACCCCTGACTTTTTAAAGCGGACCCGAACCTGCCCCCGGTCAACTTGGTTTTTCCTTCGTCAAACTCGGGGTGGAGACGGGTCAGTCTTCACGGGTACGAGTTTAATTGTCATCCCTAGTCAGTCCATTGTTGGTGTTCTTTAAATAAGGTAACAAATTCTTATGGGTAATCATGTTCTGCCCATAACGTGCCCTTTGTTTTCATAACACTCGACAAACCACTATTTTATTTTTTTAAATATAGTTTTGACTAGCACACATATTGGTAAGGTTTATGTGCCTTGTATAGATTGGTGGTGGTCATATGTCCATATTTTTTTTCTTTATGTTAAGTGATAAAAAGTTGATATAATTATGCCTTGAATTGTTATGAAATCACTTAACTTATGTTAATTCTAATATATTTTTCTCCCAAAATAGGATGAATTCGAGAATACCTTGATACAAGAGTAAGGAGCATAATTGGAGTGAAATTGAAAGAAAGAAGAGCGCTTAAGCGAATAAATGATGCGAGGCCCGACCCAAATTCTCTTATAAAAAGATAAGTTGTGTTTTGAGAAAAGGAAGCAGTCTTGGAGGAGAGGAGACACGACTACTGTTAGGGTTTTGTCTAATCTTCATCAATTCTTCACTTCTTCATCAATTGGAGCATTGTAATGGCCAACATGAGTGGCTAACTTCATTCTGTTAGGATTCGGTGCACTTCCTTTGAACTCTTTTGTATCATGGTGATATTTTGAGATATTAATCTATGCTTTGATGTTGTTATTCTTGTCTTTTATGCTTTGGAATGATTTATTCTTGATTGTTTGAGGTATGATTGGAAAATATATCTTGAACCCTAGATCACGGTAAGAATATTTGTTACGTTAATTGCCAGGAATGGAATGAATGTATCAATTACTTAACACCCTAACCCTAATGCTGGAAAATCTGTTAATTGTGAGTTTTCTTATGAATTTCATGTGTGAGGAATCAACATGGATGATTTGAGTAGGTGGCATCAACATTGTTAGGTTAATTGACGTTCTTAATTGACATAACCATTACAAAAATGGGATAAGGAAGGAAGTCAATCCTAAGTACCTTTAATTGATATTTTCTCAAAAATTTACAGTTCTTTGTCATTTAATTTCAATTCAACTCTTATTTGCAAAACCTAATCTATTTTAATCTACTTAGTAAGCATAATTGAGAATTTCTATTGAAACTGTTCCTCGTGGGATCGACTTTTATTTAATCGAAATACTATATCGTGATTGATAATGTTGGTACGCTTGCCAATAATTCAACAAGTATTTCTGCCCCTTGCCGGGAAAAGTATTCTTTGAGAATTCTTTGTTTAGCTTATTGAGTATTTTATTTTTATTTCTGTTATTATTATTATTATCATTATTATTATTATTATCATTATTATCATTATTATTATTATTATCATTATTATCATTATTATTATCATTATCATTATTATTATTATCATTATTATCATTATTATTATCATTATCATTATTATTATTATCATTATCATTATTATCATTATTATTATTATTATTATTATCATTATCATTATCATTATTATTATTATTATTATCATTATTATCATTATTATTATCATTATCATTATTATCATTATTATATATTATTATCATTATTATTATTATTATTATTATTATCATTATCATTATTATCATTATTATCATTATTATTATTATTATTATTATCATTATTATTATTATTATTATCATTATTATTATTATTATTATTATCATTATCATTATTATCATTATTATTATCATTATCATTATTATTATTATCATTATCATTATTATCATTATTATTATTATTATTATTATTATTATTATTATTATTATTATTATTATCATTATCATTATTATTATTATTATTATTATTATTATTATCATTATTTTCATTATTATTATTATTATTATCATTATTATTATTATTATTATTTAGTTTTTAGTTTGTGCTAATATTTGCTTGAGTTACTCTTTTGATTTATGCGTTTAAGAGGACATGTATCTTCGAAGAAGGGAAACTCAAAAACAAGCTACAAGAGAATCTGCTAATTCTTCTTTCACACTTGATTTACCAAACCCAATTATAGAAGATATGGCGGAAGAAGGAGCAAATCTGAATCCAGATCCAAATACAAATCCAAATCAAAACCCAAATGCAAATCCACCTAGAAGAACTCTTAGAAATTGTGCTATGCAGGCAAGGTCCAAGATATTTTTCCAGCATTGTCATTCCGGATGATCATACATTGCAGATAAATCCAGCTTTCTTAAGCTTGATTAGTGCTCATCAATTCACTAGATTGGATCATGAAGACCCTTATATTCATTTGTCTACTTTTTATGAGTTGATTGGTACCATGGGATTTAGAGCAGCAAATCTTGAATCTGCATATTTGATATTATTTCCTTTTTCTTTGGCAGGTAGGGCAAAAGAATGGCTGAAAGCACATCCTAATCAGAGTTTGACTAATTGGAGTAGTGTAGAAGAGAACTTTCTGAACAGATTTTTCCCACCATCCCTCTACATCAAAGCAAAATCTGACATCACTTCTTTCATACAAGGAGCAGATGAGCAATTTTGTGAAGCATAGGAGAAATTTAAATCACTGTTGAGAAGTTGCCCAAATCATGGATTTGATGACGTTTCTCAGTTGAATATTTTCTATACTGGCTTGCGACATGATGCAAAGATGTTATTAGAGGCTGCAGCAGGAGGATCTATGTTGGATGTAGAAATTGATCATGCCACCAGAATTATTGATGCACTAGCCTTTACAGACCAATAGGCCCAACATGATAGACATCCAATTCAAAGGAAGGGAGTACTTGAACTTAACAGCTCAGATGCTATCTTAGCCCAGAATAAACTTATAACGCAACAAATTGAAGCATTGAACCAGAAGATAGAGAAATTACCTCAACAAATGCACACATTACAATCTATTCTTAATAAACATATGAGTTGTGGTGTGTGTGGAGGTGATC